CTCAAGGTAGATATCGAGCAGGGCGCAGTCTGTGCTACTCTTTCCATCTCGACTGGGAAATTCTTTGAGGGTGGAAAGTCCTGTTAAATTGCAGCTGACTTCTGGCGATCCTGGAGGGTTTCTAAGGCGAGAGACAAACAGAGGTGGTTTGCCATTGCCTGCCTCTGCAGAGCACCCCTGGACTTCCTTGGCCTCCCCATCCAAGTACTGACCATGGCCAACCCAGCTTAGCTTCTGAGATCCTACAAGAAATAGTATTTCAGAAAGCTAAAGTACAAGTTGTGCAATGGTGGAATCAGCTGCCCAGGGAGGTGGTGAGCTCCCCCTCACTAGCCATCTTTCAGCAGCGGCTGGATGAACACTTGTCAGGGATGCTCTGACTGATCCTGCACTGAGCAGGGGGTTGGACTAGGTGACCTGTATGCCCCCTTCCAACTCTCTGACTATGATTCTAGTGACATTTACAGCCTTCTCTGACCTGGACCATCCAGGTCATGGTAGCAAAATTTTTACTGAGCAATAAATTTAGCACCAAGTCAGCAGATCCTAAACTGTGGCCCAGGGACCTTTTAGAGCAGTGGTTTTCAGTGTAGCATAGTTTGCTTGTCTTGTGAGCTGGCATTCATGGTAATTAATGAGTTTGTCATATTTACATGCCACATACTGAACCATAGTACATTGTCTATTTCAGTGTTTTGTGTACTTAAAAAGACCCTTTATCTACTGCAGGAGGGGGACCCCAAGGCCATTTTCCTCCCATGTTGCCGCTGTGTGGTCCTGGCTATGTGACTTCTGTTGAGGCTGGAATTCCGGCTCAATCAGCGTCCTGTTGGTCCTCTCTTTAAAACAGACCTCTGGTTAGAGCCAGAAGCTCTTTCCGATAAAAAAAAATAGAAGTGCTGCCTCGTTCCCTTGTCTCCCACCAACGATGAAGGCCAAAAGCAAAGGAGCAAAACGCAGGCGCACAGTCCAGGAGGATGCCGCATGCCAGGAACCAGCCCAGAAGAAAGATGAGCTTCTGAAATGTTCGCGGCGCCAGGAGAAGAGGAACAAAGAGAGCAGCAAGACCGCTGCGCGGTCCACAAAGCTTCCCTGGAGCAGCAAAGACCGGCGGTTGCGACGCCTGGAGAGCAACGAGCGTGAGCGCCAGCGCATGCACAACCTGAACAATGCTTTCCAGGCCTTGAGGGAAGTCATCCCGCACGTCCGGGCGGAGAACAAGCTGTCCAAAATTGAGACCCTCACTTTGGCCAAAAACTACATCAAGTCTCTCACCTCCACGATTCTCAGGATGTCAAACGGACACCTCCCTTCTGCTGTCGACAGGTCCGGTTCTGGCAGCAGATCCAAACTCTATGAACATTATCAGCAGCAATGCGGGGAAGAGGAGTCCACAGAGCAGCTCCAAAAGTACTCGACCCAGATCCACAGCTTCCGGCAAGGCAGCTAAAGCCAGCTGTCCCTCCTAGTTTGAGTTTCGATTCCCGGAGAAGTTCTGAAGTAGTCAAGCATCTCAGTGCAATTTCCCCCTCCCCTCCTCTTGCAAACGAGCGATGCTGTTGTGACCGTGGTAGAAAAGGCTCGGTAACTTCATCTAATGCAGGGGTCCCCAACGTAGTGCCCATGGGCACACTGGCGCCCACTGACACTTTTCATGTCCACCCACCAAGTGTTGCTAGAATGTGAGTGGAAAGTGAGGCTTCCAGTTGGCCACCGGAGATCCAATCGGCTCGGTAGCTTAAAATAACATTGTTTCTGTGGCAGCTGCCACGGCACTGTTGGTTTTCTTTTCTCTCACTTCTTTTTTCCAGTGTATTTTTAAAATTACCCTCCCTTTCCCCTGTACTTGGGCTTCCTCTGTGTACGTGGTTTCACCTCCTGGAGCAGCACCCCTTTTGTGGCCAGCTCCACCTCCCATGGCAGCCGTTTTGTGGCTGCACCCACCAGCCTGTATCAGAATTCCAAAGGTGCCCACGGGCTCCAAAAGGCTGGGGGACCCCTGATCTAACGATTATTATTATGTTTTGTTTTTTTTTTTAAGTTGGACACATCCAGAACTTGACACCTGTCCTATCGATCCATCCATCTACCTTCTTCCCTACATTGACAACAGTGGTGCAAATGCCGGGGAGATGCTAGAAAGACGGCTGGATCCGACCAGGATCGAAGTAAATACTGTTTTTAAAGTGTGTCTTGCCCTTTGGTATTTACACTGCTCCTTTCCTTTTCCATCACCTCCTAGCTTCTGACTTGGTGGTGTTGGGGAAAACCTTCCTCTGCCTGAGGCATGACCAGCCAGAGCAGACCCTGCCAAGCTAGAAGGACCAAAGATCTGAGTCGGCGCTTCATGTGAACACAGTGAAGTTGCCTTCTGCGGAACCGGAGCATCGGTCTGTCCAGGTCAGGTTCTCAGGCCGCAGTCTTTCACATCGCCCCATTACCTGATTCTTTTAACGCGAGATGCCAGGGAAGTTACCTGGGAACGTCTGCATGCAAACCTACATGAGTCATGGAGCTAACATTCATGACGTTAACACTGACCTGTTCATCAGATCTGAGGCTGAATTTGTGATGCGTGAAAGGACTTTTTAGTATTTATCATTATACAGCACTAAGCACAATGGAGACTTGAAGGTACTGGTAGTGTTTTGTTATAAGCTCTAAATAATGCTTACTAATATATTTGCAGGTCTTGCAATCTGAAAATAAAGAGGGATTTTTTTGGTGGGGTGGGGGTAGACGTATACCTAATCTCTTTTGTTTTATAATCAAAGTGCAATTGGTCAAATTAATTCTAGGCCAATATAGAACTCTTGAAAAATCAACTTCTGATATCCTGTAAAACATAATTTTAAAAAATTAAAGATGCTCTTGAAGCAAAGAGAATTATGATTCTTCAGTTCTTGGTTTGTTGTTGTTTTTTAAATGAACACATCATGTGCTAGTATTTCTTGTATTCCCGGCTTCTTAGCCTCCCAGATACATCCTTTGGCAGATATCACAAGAATCTAAGTGCCTCAGCCGGGAGCATTAGGGAGAAGGTATCCCTTTTGCCCCGTCGCTTATTTTATTTGAAATCCCACCAGTCTTTTCCTGCTTAAAAAGGGGAGGGGGCACAGTGGGGCACATTAACCTTACAACAACCCTGTTAGGTAGTCCAGGCTGTGGAAGACCTTGCCCACCATCATTCAGGGAGTTCAATCAATCAATCAATCAGAACCTTTATTGGCATAGCGACGGAACATACACCAGGGAGACAAGGATACATCCTTACTCTTGCAACTGAAACAATCTTCTCTTATTAGCACAACAGAGAAATTTGGCTACAGATTCTACGATCTCAGGATTATGGGAGTAGTGAAATGATCTTATAGTCATCAGATTGCCCTACTTGACTCTGATAAAGAGGTTCTACTAAAACAGCACAAATATCACAGTAAAAAGAACAATACAGGATAACATGTTTGATACTTTCAATCTCTCCCAAGCCACAGGCATAAAACCTAGAAGAGTGTGGGATTTTCTTGAACCTCCCGTACAATACAGCAAAAGGGAGAACACTGAAACGAGCTAACATGAATGCTCTTCGCAGATCAGAGGCAAGACATCTAACTTCCTGCATTTCAATATCAACAAGTCTCTGCTTAATCAGAACAAATGCACTCCTCTCAGGAAGATACACTATGTCATCAAAATCAAGCCCAATTACCAAAATCCCCCCCCCATAAAGGTCATCCATGCAGATGTTTGTGCTTCAGAGAGCATGTGTGCAATAAGACTATTCGGACTACTCCTAAAGTGTATACGCATCCAATACTTGATTGATGTAATCCAATTTCTTGTCACTAAACACCTTTGGTTTGTCTCCAAGCATATGGCTGCGTAAGGCACACATGCTGGCAGTCCCAGGATTTTCCTTAGAAAATTAGATTGTACGCGTTCTACTGCTTTATTAAAGGCTGTCATCCAAATCGGGATACCGTAGAGCAGTTTGGGACATATTTTGTAATTGAAAATTCTAAGTGCTGCAGGGATATACTGGTTTCCCTTAGTGTAAAAGAAATGGGTGATTGCAAGAACATTACTATTCACTGCTTTTAACACCTCCTTGTTGTGGTTAACCCAATTTGCACTGAAGTGAAAGTGAACTCCTACACATCTAAAGCTTTTAACCTGTTCAATCACTTTCCCACTAATATTCCATGTAACAGGTTTCCAACTTTGCCCAAAAACAATTATTCTAGATTTCTAGTAATTTAGGGTCAATTTATTCAAATCGCAATAATCTAGAAAACGAAGTAACATCCTTTTCATCCCTATTCCTGAAAGAGAAAGAAGCACCACATCATCTGCATATAGAAGGAGTGGTACATGCAGCGCCCCTAGTTTTGGACTATGTCCACCTATTCCTTTCAGGAAGGGGGCCGGGTCATTTAAAAAAAGGTTAAAGAGTAGGGGGGCTAAGATGCATCATTCAGGGAGTTTAATAGTAAAGGGTGGATTTGAACCCAGTACCCACTGCCCCACATTGTCTGCAGAGTTCATTTCCCCCTCAAATATGGATTTTCTTCTCTGCATCCTACCAATTATTCTTTAATAGTGAGAAAGTAACACTTTTATATATAAAAAACTATATAGCCGCAATGTCCCGGGTGGCTAAAATGGATGCCGTTAGAACAGGAATCCCCAACCTTTTTGAGCCTGTGGGCACCTTTGGAATTCTGATAACATTGTGGTTGGGCATAGCCACAAAATGGCTGCTGCAAATTACCTTCGATCACACAGTGAAGATCCTTGGGCTGCGGTGGCACAGCCAATCCAATCTCCATGCCCGCTTTCTAAAAACACTTGGTGGGCACCAGGAAAGGTATTACTGGGTGCCGTGGTGCTCACAGGCACCGTGTTGGAGGCCCCTGAGTTAAAACAATATGCCTTGTTTTAGAAAGAAGCATTCTTCCTTCTCTCTTTCACACATACAGGCATGCCTCTTCTGTCTCGGGGCTTGTTGTAGAATGTGTGGGAATCTTCCAATTAGAACAAAGTTTTGAGTCCAGTGGCACCTTTAAGACCAACAAAGTTTTATTCAAGGTAAAAACTTTCATGTGCAAGCATACTTCGTCAGATACCTAAGGTATCTGAAGAAGTGTGCTTGCATATGAAAGCTTATACCTTGAATTAAACTTTGTTAGTCTTAAAGGTGCCACTGGACTCAAACTTCGTTCTACTGCTTCAGAACAACACGGCGACCCACCTGGATCAATGCACAAACCAGTAAGGTATGTTTTTTTGAATCAAAGAAAAGTCCTTGGTGGGGAGTGGAGAAGAGGCAGGACAGGTAGACGAGGCCCAGCAGCACCTGCCGGAATACAAACAACAGGCTAAACCACTTTGAAGTGCTTTAATGGCAAAGCAAACAATCCCCGGCTGCTTTGGAAAGGAGACAGAGAAGGGCTTTGTTGTGACATTTGAGACAAAACGAGCGAAGGAAGTCCCGCCGCTGATCACTCTTGGAATGGAGTAGCCGCAGAAGAAGCCTTCGAACTTCTTTCTTGGTGCATCTTTCCACAGACCCTTTAAAGCAAACGGGTGCTGCATTTCTTTCCTCATTCTTTTTTTTGTCCAGGAAAGACACATTTGCATGCATTTTTCACGCTTTTTAAAAAGTCTGGCAGTTACACTTTTTACAAGGGACCTCACCAAAGGCTCTGGAGTAAACTTAGCAGTCATGGGATAAGAGGACAGGTTCTCTTATGGATTAAAAACGGGTTAAATGACAGAAAGCAAAGAGTGGGAATAAATGGGCAGTTCTCACAGTGGAAGGAAGCAAGCAGTGGGGTCCCACAAGGATCGGTATTGGGGTTGGCACTATTCATATATGATCTAGAACTAGGGGTGAGTGGTGTAGTGGCCAGGTTTGCAGATGACAAAAAATTATAGAAGATTATGACAACAAGGGCTGACCAAAGAGCTCCCAAGAGGGCCTCTGCAAACTGGATGAGTGGGTGACTATGTGGCAAATCAAGTTCATTGCTGGTAAGCGTAAGGAGATGCACACTGGGACAAAAAAAAAAAATCCCAGCTTCAGTTACAGGCTAGTGGGGTCTGAACGTGCTGAGACTGAGAGAGGAAAAGATCTTGGGGTCGTAGTAGATATAGCTCAATGAAAGTGTCAGCCCAGTTTGCCATGGCAGTGAAAAAGGCAAACTATGTTGGGGATTATTAGGAAAGGGATTCAGAATAAAACAGCCAATATTATAAACAGCCTCTGTGTAGATCTATGGTGTGGCTTCATTTGGAATGCTGTGTACAGTTCTGGTCACCGTCTCTCCAAAAGGACATGGCAGAGCTGGAAAAAGTACAGAGGAGGGTGACCAAGATGATTAAGGGGTTGAAGCACCTTCCCTAGGAGGGACAGGCTGAAGAGCCTGAGACTTTTCAGTTTAGAAAAGAGACGCCTAAGGGGGGGACATGATAGAGGTTCATACAATCATGCATGGTGTGGCAAGAGTTGAGAAAAAGAACT